GTCCTCGCTCCCAACAAAAACGGAATTCCTTAATAATAATAATAAATTTTTATTATTGTTGCCGTTTTTCATTTATTAATCGAAGGCATTAGGCCACCATAACCTACAAAACATGAAGCCATACATGTACCTGAGCAATAAAAGAAACTTGATTTCACATGAGCAATAAAAACAAAAGATACGGCTTCAAGTTTTCCACAATACTTGACAGTTTATAATGAGTACCTAACAGCAGCCACCTATTGTCTACTTCTATTCACATCAATGAGAAGAAAACAATACAACATCACATCCAACCAAAACAAAAAATTTGAAGCTTACATGCGGCTCATTTTATCTTCATGATACAAATACAAGCCAAGACCAAACCGGGCACAAGCTTTGCAGAAAGCAATTTCCTCGGCAGCTGAAACTGGATCACCAATGGAGACATCATTGGGTGATATTGTACCAGTTGACTCACGATAGGCCTGTCATCAAGGGAGAAAATACAGTGCTTAGACATTTCAGATGTTACTAATTCTGCAGTTAATGGAGTAGAAACTCTCACTTTGACCTACAGGAAGCAACACGGCCCTCATCAAAGAAGCCTAAGCTTACCAATAAATTGTATTTACCTTTCTTCTTGTTACAGGGGTGATTATAATATTTCAAATTTGAACATTTAGGATTAGGAAACTATTCTATAACTCATTGCGAAAGTAATTTAGTAATGTTGTATTTCCTGGTCTTGAAACTCCATTTATGATCTCATAAGCCAATTCCAACCTCCACTAAAGGAGGAGGGTTGTGTTAGGTCCTTGAGTGCAAACATAAAACTTGTCGAAAACCCAAACATGAATCACTAACAACGGATTATATGTGCTAGTGCTAGTTCGTTCTTGGGAAGCAACATGTTGTATGGCTCGAGTACAATATTAAATGAGCTGGTGCCATTACCATCACCACCTGGATGTAGCGTTAAATTAGCAAGGGTCCTCACATTTCCTGGACAAATACGAGTAAAGAAACTATTCTAGGAGTGCCTGATAAGGCTTAGTACTTAGAACATTAGTACTTTGATAAGTCTTCAGAAGTGGCGGACAGTATGATTCAAATAAGAATTAATATCATTATTCTTCGAGAAACTAAACTAATATAAATAAGGAAATCTAGATGAAGAATGAAGTCAAAATTATTGTGGATAAAAATTGGAAGAGACATGTGGTGGCTGTAAAATGGATTGGGGACAAGAACTTATCTTTAAAATTAATGATTGCACAAGAGACTAATAAAATCAACAATGTTAATACACCACTAATAGAACCGGACACACTTTAGGAAGAAAAGTTTTGGAAAGTTTTAGAGGGGTTGCTTTAGGGATTTCCACAAGAAGAAAAGATTACCATAGGCAAAAATCTAAATGGACATGGTAGTGAGACAATGCAATTTATAGGAGATCATGGATTGGAGAGCTAAATGACGAATGACAATTTATTCTTAATTTCTTAATGGCATAGGATTAAGGATTTCAAGATTAACACTTGTTTTACGAAGCGGGATGATCATTTAATCACTTACGGTACTAGTTCTTGATGTAAGTTTTAAGGGTCATAACTGGAAAATCTGACAAGTTATAGATCCAAGAATCAAGTAAGGGTGGTAAACATTTGACTTTAAGAAATAAATTATCAGAAGAAAGCAATTGGGAATCACAAAGTAGTGCTAACCTCGTCTCAACGAGATTATTAAGGATGAAAAGGAAAAAAGTTTGGTTATAGATCTAGAAATATGGGAGTACTATGTTAAAATCACAAAATTTACCTGCCCCCCTTCCTTTTCCGATCCTATGTAGGACCTGAATTTCAACAACCTTACCTAGGAGGATCCTCATTCTAGTAACCATGATACAAACTATATACAAGCTTAGAGAATTAATTGTTAATTTGCGGCTAATCAAAAGATGAGAAAGAACAATCAAATGCAACAAAGTGAAGGGGGGAGGGCCGGAGGGGGTGTGAGGGGTGGGGGGCAACAAGTGGTATAAGAAAGTGAAAAATCACATATTTTAATTTAAATAGACTACAAAACGACTAAAGGCTCACCTCTCCATCAGATCCCCGCACAGTAAGACGGTATACCACAGTTACACTGCCATTGTCAGAGAAAATGACATCGCGTATCTCTCCACACCATCCTGCAAAATAGTTTTGAAATTTACATTTAGAATGAATGAGAATGGGTAACATCTTTGGTCCTAATTAGACAGTGCACACAATAATTAATTAGAAAACAATGCGAATTCCAATAAACGGGTAACTCCAAGCACCTGGGGCGTAGAAGCTCAACATCCTGTTGGCATGATACCTACCAAAGGAACAGCAACAGATAGCATAATTTAAGTAATCGTCGTAAATATTTAATTTAGCAGATTTTAGAATATCTATTTGGAGAGGAAGAAAAGAAAAATAGTGAGTAAATTTGAAATTAACATGCAGCAAAGTACCAGGGGATGAAGGTGGAAGCAGAAGGGTCTCCAGGGACACGAGCTTTGACGATAGTATCGGGGATTCTTTTATTGAGGTCTCGGAGTATCTCGGCTAAAGGACGAGTTATGCAGGATGAGTTGGAGAAAGGAGAGGAATTGTCCAGCGGCACCACGTAATTCGAATTAGACACGCCTCCTTTCTTTCCATCGCTGCTTTTGCTGCTTCGCTCGTGAGTACACTTGAGGGTCAGGGTACCAACGCGATCCGTTATCCCAAAAACCCTTTTCCCAAACACTGGTTCAAAACCTTCTTTCCTGGTTTGGACATAGAATGACAGCGAAATTATCTTAGGCCTAACCGCAAAAGCCATCGCCAGCATACCTCACCAACCTCTCAAATCCCCAGTTGCATTGGGACAGTCTAAGACAAACTTTATATCAAATCTGACTAGAACCAACCGCAAGAGTTTCAGCGGTGGGAAAGTAGTGTTATTTAGGTTGGCTCACCTACTCCACATTACGATCGGAAGTTGGAACAAGTTTTTTTTTTTTGTTAAATAATTAAAAGTTATTGTAAAATATATTAATAATATAAAAAAGCTTTCCAAAAACTAATTTTATAATCATCTTTATTAAAATACATATATTTGTGCATTAATTACATTATATAATTTAGTTTTATTTTTGTGTAGTCTCTAATAGTGATAGGACGATAAACTTGTCCATTCAAGTAATAATTCGAATTTGAAATCATTAGTCGTATTAATTAATTTATGTGTTTAGTAATATAATATAGAATCTAATTTTAAAACATTATAAGTTCATATTTTTATTTTATTAATTAATAATATTTTAATTTGTACAATGTATATAATAAATGTATAATTTTGTATAATAAATAAATATTTTAAATATATAAATTATATTTTTTTTTGTCTAAATTGCAAGTACATTAGGGAGTGTTTGGCCCGCACGATATTTTTATATTTTTTTTAAATTTTAAAGTTAGAATCTTAATTTCGTTTGATAGTTATTTTAAAAAAATAGATGCTTAAGGATGTTGTTTCTCGTGAAATATTTTTATTTTACTTTTTCACAAAAAAAATATTTTTGTAAGAGAGGTGGGAATCAAATTTTCTTGATTAGGAAAAAAAATCTAATGTATATTAAAAAATCACAATATTTTTTTTAAAATTTTTTCTTTTTTTCTCTCTCCTATTTCTCTATTTCTCTCTCACACTCTCACTCCCTCTGTCTTTCTCTTTCTCCGTGTCCCTTTCTATTCCCTTATGTTTCTTTTTCTCCCTCTCCCTCACTCTCTCACTCTCACTCCCCTTTCTCGCTCTTTCTCTCCCTCCCATATCTTTATTTCTCTCTCCCCCCCTCTCTCTCTCCCTCCCATATCTTTTATATTTTTTAAACCAATTGACTAACTTAATTATTGAACTTTATAATATATATATATATATATATATATATATATCATAATCTTATATTTTAGAATTATAACTATGTTAATAATAGGTCAAAAAAATAAGTATCAACCACAAACAACCAACTTAATAAACTTAAAATTTTAAATAATCTAAAAGTTGTTAAATAAAAAATTAACAAATAATACCAAATTGATACTAATTATCACAATTTACAACTATTATGTATAAAATTTAGTTAATGTATGAATGTATAATCACATAAATTAATATTTATGAACCTATAAATAAATATACTAAATGAATCAATCCATAAGCCAACTTGGCTCACTATGGATTAACCCACAGAGAGCTTGATTGTAAGTGGGTTAGGCCAAAATTTCTTTATATCCAAAATAAACTAGATTTTCTAGCCTAACTCGACTCAAACTCGTGGTTAGTTGAGTTGATTCACAGGTTCCGGGTCACTTTGATGACTCTAAATATAAGCATTTCAATGTTGTCAATTTGATTGAGATGTTAATATTTTACTATATTACCTGATATTTCAACTTCCATTGAATCTTTCTAATGATAATGTTAGAGATTAAGTATTCTTTTTTAGTCATTGTAAAACCAATAAAAATCAAACATATAAGATTAAACTAACATATTTTGAATAGATAAAATAAATTTTTTAAATATTTTTTTTGAGAAAAAAAATATAAAAATTTAAACCATATACTGAATGATTTAGCACTATGTTGTTGGAAAAAGATGTTCTATAAGTTGGTGGTGGTGGACAAAATGCATTTTCTAAGTCTTCTTCTCCCTTGAGATTCCTAAGAGCATTAGAATTGTGGTTCTTGTTGTTGGGAACGTTCAAAGCACTTAAGGCTAAGAATAAGAGTGAGTTTAGTGTGAAGCTTCCTCGAAGCTCAAAGTTCTTCTCTTCCTTTTTTTCTCTTCTCTTTCTTCCTCTTCTCACTTTGAAAGCTCGAAATCAAGGTAAGGGAATCTATAATTGATTGTTGATGAATTGGCTAAGTTGCATGTTGTTGATTTCAATGAAATATGATAATGTTGTTGGAGTTTTCATATTGTATGATGAAGGGGTTGAGTTTGAGTGTTCTCGAGGTTGTGAGAGATATTGGTGATTTGGTCTTAAATATGGTTTCATGTATTATTTTTTGTTGGAAAAGAGTTGAGAATGCTTCATATATATGAAATTTGATGTTGCATGTGGTTGATTTTTAAGTTCCAAGTGTGAATCTGAAGTTTTGGAGTTGAATGACTTAGTGGTTGTCTGGTCTCAATGCTAAACATTGCTTTTAATGTTGAGCATTTGGGCTCATCGAGATTTCGAGGTTGAGCATTGCTCTCGATGCTAAGCATTGGACTAATAGAAATTTCGATGTTGAGCAAGACTCTTGATGTTGAGCATTGGGCTCACAGAGATTTCAATATTAAGCATTGTTTTCGATGCTTAGTAGTGGGCTCACCAAGATTTTGATGAAAAGTATCGCTCTCGATATTGGACATTGGGTTCACAAAATTTTTGATGTTAAGCATTGCTCTCAATGCTGAGCATTGGGTCATAGAGAATTCGATGTTAAGCATTGGACTCATAAAGATTTTGGTGTTGAGCATTAAACTCACATAGATTTCGGTGTTGAGCATTGCTCCTTATGCTAAGTGGAAAATTCTCTGTTGCAAATCTTTTTTTGTGATTTTCAGTGTAGTAAATGATATAGTTAGAACTTGAAGTCTTCATAAGAGTTGTAGATAATCTTTTTAACTTTCATATGAGATAAAGATGAGTTTGATTAGACTAATGGAACTTCAATTGTGTTTAAATTTGTGAAGATTATCATTGTATGATAGTCGATCTTGATAAGATGTATGTTGATACATGTTGTATGATAGGTGAATTTGGTGAACATGAATAGAAGACTTGTGTCTATTGCATGTTGTATGATGTAAGATGATGATGAAAATCATTGATATGCTATTATGATTAAGTTGTCTAGCATTAATATGCTATATATGATAAACATGCTAAAGTTTGCGTGGTAGAAGTAGTGTATTGACATTGATATGCTATTGTGATTAAATTTTCTAACATTGATATGATATGTATGATAAATGTGATATAGCTTTCATGGTTGGAGTAATGTATAGGATGTTGATATGCTATTATGATTAAGTTGTCTAACATTGGTATGCTATGTATGATTGATATGTTATAATTTGTATGATTGAAGTGTTGAAGTAACATTTATATGTTATTATTGAATGAATTGTTGAGCATTGATGTTATATTTTGATAAATTGTTAAGCATTGGTATGCTATTATTGATTGATGTGTTAAGCATTGGTATGATATACATGATTGGTATGATTTGATCTTTATATGCATTAACTTGTGATAATGTATATAAAATATGTATGTTGAGGTGTTGATACTAAGAATGTTGCAGACATTAAAGCATGTTGATTGACTTAGGATTAGAAGAGAGGATGTTGTTTAAAAAGTTGAAGATCCCATATAGAAAATAGTGTATTGGCGCTTTAGGAGGCCAGTTGTTAAAAATCCTCCTTAAACAGGTGTGAAACTCTTGAAATGGATTTTGTTGAGTTTCGTCCAGGCCTCTAGTTAATGTGGAGTAAGGTATGGAGTCGATAACTATAACCCTTAACTGATTACTAGCGATTTTTTTATATAAATTTAATCCAAATCAAACCAATCAAAATTGATATAATAATTTAAATATTTTTATAAAGAATAATACCATAAAATAGTCAGCTTTGATTATAATTTAAGTTTTTTTAATGTGCTCGAATTAAATAATTTTAAAATTGTAATTTTTTTTAATAATATTTTAAATTTTTGTCTTCTAAAATAATACTATTAACATTATTAAATATGCATAAACAAAAAAAGGATAAAAAAAGAAAAATATTGAGAGATGCATACACCGTATAAACTTAAGAGTGTGTTTTGATACCCATTAAGATAGAAGACAATGAGAACAATATAAGATAAATGTTCAAGTTAATAGATAATTTTTGGTTTTATATATTATTTGTTGAATAATAAACAATATAAATAAAATAATATTAAATTTACTTTAATATTATTTTTAATAATAATTATTATTATCTTAATGAAGATGATAGTAAAAAAATTATGATGATGACAATAATATTGTAGTCGTGTTATTGGTGACAACAACAACATTGAGAATGGTAAAAATAAAGTGTTTGTGGATAACAAAAATGATGGTAATAGATTGCAAAAGTAATGGTTGCCAATAATGATGATAAATAACGACAATAATAAGGATTGATATGATGTTGACAATAACATGATAATAATTAAATATGATTTTGTAATTAAAACAAAAAATTATCCCATAACAAGTAACAAAAAAGTATAACTTCTGTATTTTTTTTTTAATCTCATAACCCTTTTATAAGTTAAATAAAAAATAATTATATTTATCATATTTAATAGTAGGATTTTTATCGATTCAAATAAACCTTAAATATATTTGTCATATTTCCATAATAGATAAACATAAATAAATACTGAAACTTGATCTCCTAAGTAAACTTGTATAACTTGATCATGGGCTTTAAAAGGATTTTAAATGTTTTGTAGGGACATTTGCTTTTCAATTTTTTTTATCCAAATCAAAGGTTAAGTGAGGTGCAGGTATTTATATTTAAGTGGCCTAAAATGCCAGCCAAAAACGAAATTGAAAGAATAGTTCCAAATTTAAATCGATAACATTGTTAAATCCATTAATTATATTTTTTACATTGATAGTGAATAAAAAATAATTATTATGTTTTTAATAGTATAATATAGTATTCTGAATAAGAAATTGTCTTAAAAAAATAGCGATAGACGGGGGATAAGAGTATTTCTACATGGAAAACTTATTTTAGGTTTTTAATTTACTTTTTGTGAGCTTTACAATGTCATGTAAAATTTTAGAATACATTTTTTTTAAAAAAAATTTCTCCAATAAAAAAATGAACTTAAATTATTAATTTACTTTTGGATTCTTAAAAGTTTTTATATAAAATAGTTCTTATATATCAGATCCGTATCATCCTACTTCAATAATAAAATTTGTAATTTTTTATCTATAAAAAATTATTATTGGAGATGGAAAAGTACTAACAAGAATTTGAAAGTGCTCTTCGTGGCATTTGTTTCAAACCATGGGTAGCGGATAAATTAATAAAGAAAATGGCATCAATAGAGATAAGGCAGAGGGTTAAATTGAAATATGAGGCAACGGAAATAAATAATAATTAAAAAAAACCTTATTAAGGGGTCAGGGTCAATAAGCTTTTATTTGGTAGTTAAGGGTCAATAAGCTGTTTAGTGTAGATTATAGCCAGTTAGAAATTGAAAACCAAGTTACAAATAATAACAAATACTAGTACAATTAGAAATGCCGCAAAAGGCAAAACAAAAACAAAAACTAAAACGCCCTCTCTCTCCTCCAGTTCTGTGCCTCTTCTCAGTGTTGACGGAGAAGGATGAGGTGACGGAGCCTCTCTTCTCTCGTAAACGGCGTAACGGACATCCGAAAAGGAGTCACGTGGCGAAGAAAAAGAAAAAGGGTGGGTCGGGTCAGGTGGAGTGAATGGCTTTGGAGCAGGAATTATCTTTGGGTCAGAATACGAATAACCGAAACACAAACACAAACGGCGTGGATAGTGGAGAAGAGGGAGGGAAAGCGCCGAGGCTGCCTCCTGGGGGGAAAGAACAAGAGATCCTGGTTCTAATACGGGGAAAGAGAGACGCGGAGAACAAGTTCAGGAGGGGTCGGACAGCGGGATTGGCATTCGGGTCGGGTCAGGTGGAGCCAAAATGGGCATCGGTGTCATCTTACTGCAGAAAGCATGGAGTGAACAGAGGTCCGGTTCAGTGCCGGAAAAGGTGGAGTAATTTGGCCGGAGACTATAAGAAGATCAAAGAATGGGAGTCTCAGATAAGGGAGGAGGCGGAATCGTTTTGGGTGATGAGAAACGATTTAAGGAGAGAGAGGAAATTGCCCGGATTTTTCGACAAGGAGGTCTATGATATTCTTGATTCAGGCTCGCAGGCGCCGACGTTGGCACTCGCTCTTTCGTCGCCCACAGTAACGCTGCCCAAGGACAATGACACTAAAAGAGTGCCTGACCCCGAGGAGCCTCATCCTCACCTGAACCTCTATGATAGTAATCGAAGTGCCGCTGGCGAGGATGGCTTGTTCTCAGATTTTGAACAAGATGAACTCCCTGCTAGTCCCGAGAAGAAGGACATTTTAACGCCCTCCATTCCTGCGAT